AATAAGGAGAGTTGTTCGGTTTCGGTAACTTTTGCAGTTGTTTTCTCAGGTGTATACCACCGTCTTGGTACCAAACTAGACGCATGGTGGGAAATCTCATTCTGATCCACAGGGGAGGTAACGCCTGGGCTGATGATGACCTGAGCAAGACCTTCTTCGGCTACAGCGACCTCGGAACTCTAGGGAATTACAATGGCTAAATCAGCAAAACTCTAGCCTCAGTACCCTACACACTGGGCGGCACCGTCTATGATGTCAGACAATGACATAGCAGGTGAGAGGCGGTCAAATCTCAGGTTGAACAGAACATCATTAGAAACGGATAAAACGAGTACGCTTACAACAAACCATGGAGACTGTTTCTTGTTGTGCACCTTAACGCCAAAATAGTCTCTTCAGACGCCGACTTTGCACTTTTCTTGAGGTTGCTGATCGACTCAAATTCTATGTGATCACTCTAGAACAGACAAAAAGCGGAAAAGCCCACACCGACATACGCCACCCAGATGGCGAAACCCTTGTTATTCGTAGAGGGAAGTTTCCGTTACGAAACGTCGGAAGCTTGGGCTTTGTAGTACACCCATCTATTTCCAATCTAGTAATCTCATATGGAATTCTTTCACCGCACTTATCCATTCTTTCCCTCCAAATTGCGCGTTAAAAGAAAGTCGGTATCATAAATTTTTACTCAGCAACTTGTACAGCTGATAGCGTTTTACAACCAGTTGGGGGAAAGAATCCGCAACGAGGAGCCCTTCTAGAAATTTGTTGTTGAAGATATCAACGTCAGATTTGGAACGGCTAACGAAAATGAATACAAGGTGGGCAAATTCGGAATAGGAGAACGAAATGAGCATGACAGTTCTCATTAAGATGCTCTCTTCGTATGACTAGCAGATAAACGAAGATCTGGCCGAAGACTACACACTATTTGTAGAACGAGTTAAAACGTGTGCCCAACTCGGCAAAGTTCCTCAAACAAGAAGTTCAGACCGCATCTTCATAACCACTAAAGAATCACTCCAAAAGTTTACGGCAGTGAAACTTGATCCTGGTTAAACACATCTAACAGGCCTGATAATAAATGACATCTCTAGAAGATCTTCGTAGGTGGATTAACATCGATATAGGCAGAAAAAGAAAGAAGTCCCGACGGTATCTTTGTGACTATAATGTTCCGCTACCTGTCCTGATGAACGGAGTTAGACTATCATTACATCCTATCATGGTGTGGAATTATTTCTTGCAACCCACACGACATCTTACTTTCATGAAGAGAAACTCCAAGACCTGTGGAGCACTTTGAGTTCGGTCCTCCTACTCAAGAATTCTTGAGTTTGCTCTACAAGGTGTTCATGAAGACTATCTTTGAGCACATCGAAGAGCTCGGGTGAGGCACAACCAATTCAGCAATCAAGGATTCCGACAAGAATTCTGTTCCATGCACCGCATCGAAACCGTATCACGGTTATCAGGGGTTGTAGAAATCTGTTGAGAGTACCACTTACCCATTGTCCTAACCTTTACCGACTACGAGAAAGCGTTTGACAGAGACAAAAAGAGTGAAGTCCTATGAGCGCTCGTCGAACAAAGAGTGGACCTTGCCTATACACGGACACTAGCCACCTGTTATCGGTACTGCAGCACAAATATACAGCTTTTCATCGACCCATCACCATACCCATAGGAAAGGAGGTTCCAGAAGGCGACAAAGCAATTCCTCAGCTCTTTACTGTTGCACTGCAGTGGATCATGAAGTCACTCGACTGGGACTAGAATGACATACGTATTGATGAAGAGTTCCTTTTGAATCTTCATCTCGCGGATGACATCGTTATCTTTTCGATGAATACCAGTGAAGCAGAGACGATAATCAATCAACTCAAAGGGGTAGGAAAAAAGATCAGACTACACATAAACTGTAAGAAAACCTAGTTCATGAAAAACCCATGTTGTAGAGGTGAACGGACCGAACTGGATGGTTCTCTGATTACAGAAACCACCTTGCACGTGTAACCTGAACGTTCAATGAACATGAAGGAACTAGATGGAAGAAAAAGAGCAGCATGGGCCATATTCGGGTCACTCAAAGAAACCACCGACAAACTAGCGGACCTGGAGCTCTCCGCTCGCCTTTTCGACTCATTAATCCTCCCAGCGCTCTGTTGTGCAGCAGAAACTGGGGTGATATTTCTACTACGTCAAGAAGCTCGTGTACCATCCACAAGTCACTTGAACAATGTCTTCCGAAATTTAACGAGGCACTCATAACGTCTGGCCGGAATGTGCAGTTCGAAACTTCGCGTATCCTATCTTCGGGATCCAGGAGAATATACATTAAAGGCAAGGCACACATGTGTCGGTCACATAATAGGGACACATGACAAATGGGCAAAAGGAACAGTGGAGTGGATCTCAAGATAACGCAAATGTCCTCATAGGGGACCACCCAAATGATGGGCGGACGTGTTCGCCTGTTCCTATCGATAACCATCTGCACTCGCAGAGGGCGACGATTTCAGGGTTAGGGAATGAGTCTTGCTGATGTCACCATGTTCGAAGCAGACCATCACCATGGAGGAAAATTGCGCGAAAGATAAACGAATAAAAACTATGCTGAGGCTTGTCCAACCAGTGAATACAGGACACCCAATTATCCTAGTATCGTCACTTGCTTGACGCCATGAAACTTTAAGGGTTATGGAATGGATCTCGCGAACGTCACAATGTTCCAAGCAGCTGAACACCATGGACGACAATTGAGCGAAAGAGAAACGAATGAAAACTGTGCTGGGGCTCGCACAACCAGTAAAGACGGGCCATTTAAGTATCCAAATAAGTAGGGTGATGGTAGACTAGTGGCGCCGATGATATCGATTTTCCTTCATCACTGGTTGTATTCCGGAAAAGTGCAGTACTGTTTGAAAAGTTCCTTTTTTACAATGAAAAGTTATTAAAAGGCAAATAGTGCGCTTGGCTGTGTAACATTTATCAGAACTTTCCGACCCATATCAACTACACTATGAATTATCTTTAGCAGAAGCTGCTTCTGACCGCAGTGGTGATGCTTGTGTTAATTATTGCGTTAACATCAACGGCGACTATCGTGGTGTTTTTGCACTGGAACGGCTCCGTGGCTTGGATTCCAGAACTTTCGTCTGTACTTCAAGAAAGCTGATTACCAACGAACAAATTTAAAGCACATACGAATTATCATTTATAATCTTTCTAGTCTAATATCAAAAAGCTACGTTCTTTTGCACCTAATCTCAATAAAAATATTTTATTATAACATGTAAAATTTTACGTGATGTTTCCAAACATTTAATAATGCTGGACAAGCCATGATGTTTAGAAGAAAACAAAACGAACGGCTATAATGCATAGGGATGGCAAAATACGCATTAATATTTTACTTTATTACTTACTTGATAGTCGATACTTGGGCACCCCGTCCTCACTGTTTATGCGGGCCCCAGCTACTCTCCATTTTTCGGAGATTTACTGGTTAAGACATTGTGGTTCCTTGGATTCACGAAATCAGCCTAGCCTAAGTCTACCCCAGGTCTTCACCACTACAGGCAGTCGCAGCACCTGTGGGATTTTACTACATTATTTTATACAGTTGGGTTGACTTTCTAGTAACCTCGGCATTGGAATATGAATGCGTCGTTTCCTTGTTCAGCAATCGCGAGGTTGTTATACAGCATACATTTACTTCCATAGAAAAACAATACAATACAAAAGTAGCTGACGTTTCGGCAGTATCGCCTTCTTCAGAGCCTGGAAGGGCACACTAATATGCAATTTACTAGACCAAATCCTTCCATGACACAAAAAAACGAAAAACTCAGTGGACAACTATAGTTGAAATACTACCGGCTACTCTACGTCGCTAGTTAGTTGGTAACCGTCTGTATGACCGTCTAGATGACACAACAAATTGCGTAATTTGCCTTTACGGCAGGGACGGTGATTGCATGAGTTCAGGTACGATATGCCTGATCTCTTGTAATAATTGCGGAGATGAATATATTGGCGAAACGGGCAGACCTTTGTGTATTCGTATAAAAGAACACCTAGATGGTAAACGAAAACTAAGACGAAGCACTCCACTAGGCACGCATAGGATACAGAAGCATAGCGGAGACGATTTTGAATAAAAGTCAATATCCTTGCACAGGAGACTAAAACACCAGCGCGAAAGCTTCTCAAGGCTACTTGGATAAATGCCAAAAACCAAGGCAAAAGTTGAAGCGTTTGGCCTAGTAGATTGTATGTCAGTATACCCTTCCAGGCTCTGAAGAAGGCGATACTACCGAAACGTCAGCTACTGTTGTATTGTATTGTGTTTCTCTATGGAGGTAAATGTATGCTGTTTAACAACCTCGCGTTTGTTGAACAAGAAAACAACGCATTACTTTATACAATTATTTATTTGTACATTTAAAACCTTTTTCGATGATGGAAAGTAAAATCCAGATATAAAGTCAAAAATATGCCAAATGCCGTTGATTTGTGTGAGCCATGAAAGGTGGTAATTAAAAATTTTATTTATATTCTGCATAATTTTAAATGACTACCACATCAAAGTGCCCAAGACAAAAAAAGTTGGGAAAACGGAAGAAAAACATGAGGTAATGAAGAAGAGAGTCTGTCAACAAAAAATGTACGAATTATAGAAATCAAGAGCGGTTGTGAACACTAAAATTATGCGGGGCTTTTAATTACGCGCAAAACTGCGCCAACTAAAAGCAAAATGTGAAAAACTATTAGCAAAATTAGGCAGATCGTGATGGCAAAACGAAGCCTCTCATGTTATGCAGAAATGACGACACTGTCTTTCTTACAGAACAAAAAGTGGGTATTCCCAGGATCACTGAAAAACGTGGTAGATTATGTGAGCTGCACGATGATAGTGGTGCAACAACTGTTTAAACAAAAAAAAAAATCATAGTCAACACCTTACTCCGCTGATAGCACTTTCAACGGGTAACAGCTTAGTCGATCTTGAAATATTTGTCAAACTTCCACCGTTGGCTGGCTTTGGTCTCATCACAATATACGAACACGATGTCTCCACCAGATTCCACTCCGTCTACATCCAAACATAATCCCCGCGTTTTATGTCGAAGTACACCATTCTGTAGAGTGAATAGAGTAAGAGCATTTTATAAGCTCTATGAATCAAACAGGAAAAAAAGTAAAAGCGAGAAAGTGGGTTATTGGTGGGAAAGTACACAACACATCGTTAGTGTATAACCTCAATTAGAATACATGAATTATAATTTCAAAGTCCTTCGAAGATAACGGACGGGCCTACGTAAATCCCTAACAGAAAAAATCACTTTATCAAGGAAGTGGCTGCTAATATTGTTAGCTTTGCAAAACAAGCCAACCATCTTAAGTAACTCACTTCGGTGTGCTGGAACTCCACAATGACGTCTTCCCGACATTCCTGAAGTACCGCATTGTAGACATCTGGTCTTAGTTGATCACCCACTTCCACACATGTAGTTTCTCTACGCAATTCGTGCCGCTTCGATATTGAAAACATCTACAGCACGCAAATTATATCTATACAGACATTTTTAGAAGTACTTTTTTACAAGTGCAATCAAAACTTCTAGTTCAATTCCACAAAGCTCACTCAATATCATACCTATAGCAACTACTCACCAAAACACTTTACCGATGATTATTGGTCATATAGGTCTCATCCATCCGTACATCGGAACGTCCTTGTCCATTATCTCACCATTCTATTATCGCTCACGTAGTTCATTATCCCTAGTGTACCATAACTGTATAGGACCTTGCGGCTCTGGCTTAGGTCAGCCGCATTTTGTTCACTCACTCATCCGCCCCTGAAGCCGTTGGTGCTCCGGTATAACTCACGCACACCTCTACGTAATGCGCACACTCCTGTAGTCTGCGTTCAGCACGCTACGTCTCTCAGCCGCACCTGCTGTTGATGGTGTGGTCGTGGGACCTGGCTAACTACTCATTGTACTGTTGTCTCGTTATTACTGATGTATTAATGTCGTATTTATGTGTATGAAGGTTTAACTACCCAAGATTTAGGCTGTCCATGGGACCACCAAAAGATCCGCGTGGCTGACGAATACATCTCATCAGTTCGACACTCAAACGATCCAGCACTACACAACTCGGCGGTCAACGTACGCATTCACCGCTCAAACCATCACAATATCTATATTTAGAGTACCTCAAAGGCTAAAGTGAAAACTCACCTGGGAAGCACTTCCACCTTCTTGACATGCAAACACACCAAGAATTACTGTACCCTAAAGGGAAAGCAATCACTTGAAAATTATAGACTTGTTCTGCATTTAACGAGTGATCGATAACTGATCGCTCAGTCAAAATGGCAGCCTGTGCGAGGACCGCTTAATGGGTGCATTGAGAACACTAGTGTAAGCCATCTGAAGCTAAAGACTACAGTTAAGGACTATGGTGCATGGTTCAATGACATCCTCCAGCACCACCACTCACAGATCTCATCGTTAACAAACAGAAAGTTTTAAAACCCATAGAATGAACGCATTAATGTGAATTCGTTTTCAGTAGTCAAATGAAATTGTTTCCACTTTGAAGTAACAGCGAAGAACATTAGGCTATATTTCAGTAATGCTAGAAACGACGACTGTGAATGGTATAATACTTCCAAAAACTCCTAAAATATGTTCAGACGTGGGGGCAATTGGAGCGGGTTAAATTCCACCTGCATCTTCTTTCAGAAGTCATTTAAAACACGGATGGACGTACCTCCCAATGGTTTACTGCCTCATCGTGGTTGGAAGGTGTTCTTGGGTGTCGAGTTAAACGTACAGCGAGGACTTCATCCTCTCTGCAGGGCCTCCCAAGCTGAGCAGCCCGATGCTTTGCACTGGAAACCCAGCTAGGAGTAAACAAATAGCAGGAATTATTACCGTCCTGGTGTCAAACTAGTCGCATAGTGTCTAATCTCCCTCCGATCCGAAGACGACGGGGCTGCCCAGCGTTGTGACGACCTGAGGAAGGCTTCGGCTAGGCTGATCCCGGGACTCCAGGAAACCGTAGTGGATAAACTACCGAAACTCCGTAAAAGTGGAAATTATGCTGGGTCCCGCACGACCAGTGAGAACGGGCCATCTAGGTATCCAAGTAAGGTTGGACGTGGGTTAATTTCTACCCATATGTTACAAAAATAACGGCCACTTTCAGCTTTAAACCAATATATTTCTAGTTAAAATGAACTATATTGATTGCTAGAATCTACAAATCCTTGCCTACAGAATAACAGCTGCCTCGTTTTACCACCAGAACATTCCGATTTTAAGCAGTCCATCAAATGTACTTTACCTCCTTTCCTCGTTGAAGTTTCTATTTCGAAGATGAAAGAAGTTGAACAAGCAATAGCGAAGGATTTTTTTCGTGAATTATAGATGTCTCGCATGCATTGTTGACGTCTATGGCTACCGGTATTTCGCTTGAAATTTTAAAAACTTGGATCTCGTCTCTATTTCTTTTGGAAATCCTAATCCTAAACAATTTTAAAAATCAAATAAGAGATCTTAAGAATCATGGTTAATTTTAGATAGACAAAGCGTCCCTTTTATGAGTCGATCACATTTTCAATTCCATAGGTATTTTAAAAAAAAAGATAAAGGTTAAAGCTCTCGGCGTTGATCAATCCCTGAGGAATGCGCCATGCATTCGATTTCACCAAACATTGTCAGAACTGAGGGAACGCATATCAGATCTAGACAATGACTCGCAGTGGCCCACCAATACCTCCAGTCAGTGCTGCCATCCTCCTAGACAAGTCCGCTACCAACTCCCTGACACAAATAGATAGAAAGTTTGGTAAGCCAGGGGCGCGAGATCGAACCTATGTGTATTGTACGGCATCTCTAACCAGTGCGTTACATGCACCCCTTCATATGTATAAGTATTGTATATGTCTAAAAAATGCCAGGTATTTGCGAAAACCAGCTTTGATCTCTAAGTGTTAAAAACAAGGCTGCCTTTCTACACTCAAACGGAGACTCTATATCTTCAAAAACTTGACGTTCTTCTATTCATACCATGTAGCACTTTAAAGAGCCGATTTAGATTCATATTTAAATGATTTCCTCCCAACGGTTTGAAGCCTCATCGTGGCTAGGAGGTGTTCCTGAGTGTCGGACTGCGATGTACAGCGGGGTGATTCGTCCCCCGGCAGGGACTCTTAAGCTGAAAAGGAGTCCGGCGTTTCCATTAGGAAGCCTAGCTAAGAATAAACCAATACCAGGATCCACCATCGTCTTAGTATCAAAGCCGCATAGTGGTAAATCTTCCTCTGATCCATAAGAGCTGCGACTGCCTGTCGTGATGCCGACCTGGGGCAGACTCTGGCCATACTACTCTCGGAATTCCAGGGAACCACAATGGCTTAACCAGCAAATCTCCGAAAAGTGGTGATTATGCTGGAGCCGCACAACTAGTGATGACGGACCGTCCGAATATCAAGTTCAAATATTTAAGTAGGTTACTGCTTTTATTGTTAATTCTGTTCAATCCAAGGTATTAAAGTAACAACTCAAATTCGAGTACCTTGATACGATTTCAGATATTGAGGTAAAACTACGGTAATACGTTGATTCCAAAAGTTTCTCAACAAAGACAAAAGTTCTGAAGACTAAGAATTTCTCGAGCTGACAGTTACCACTGACGGCTATTGGAAAACGTTAACTCAAGCGTAGATTTATGTAGAACAATTGAGGAGCTCACCGAAAACAACACCGAAATCGGATTGGGAAAAGGAAGAAACATCAAATGAGTGCTGGAGGAATCCAAGAAAATGCAAAAAGATTGCGGCCATGAAATTTGTCCTCAGTTATTTTGAGCAACAAAGACAATGAGTTTTCTTTGTTGCATTGTGATGACAGACCCGAAATGGGCTTTACATGATAATCAAAAAGTTTCCGCGTAACATAAGGCAAAGGCACCTAAACACTCCTCGAAATAAACAGAGTTATCCTATACCATGAACCAACCTTGTTTTCAAGTCGCTGAAGAGTGTCAAGGCAAAGACTGCGTTCAGTCCGGACGTGTCCATAAGCGTAGACATTTTCATCAGGAACAAATTTCTGCGGTATCACATTATCCAGATACCACTTGAAAGATCTACATTTCAGACGCTTTCGCAGTTGTTTTCGTTCCGTTAAGTCTCCGACATCGAAATCCTGAATTTAAAAGAATGAGTCCTTAATGTTTACAAACAGCTGATCATTCTCATTCATTTCATTATCCATCTGCTTAATTTTGAACTACGACACAAAGCAAGTGTCCAAAACCTTGAAAACGTCACTGACGACGGATAGTTTGTTATTTCTATCGAGAACCCAATCAGGAAGAGGCAACCATAGTTACGTTCTGCTATACTGTTATTTCAACTACACTATAACGCGAGATATTACTTGATCAATGCCGAGGTTAATAGAAAGTCGGTCGTGGGAGTTATAACGCGAGAGTTTGTTTCCTACCGACATCGTCAACTTTCAGCTTTAGACAAAAGAGATTCCTACAAATCGAGTTCATCTTTTCATTCATTTACTCTTTTATATTACCCTTCACCGTCACATACTGTGTGGATGCCACCACGCCCGTTTGGTTGATTCTCCCACAAATTTTGGATAACTTCGGTAAAATACTTCCAGACCGTCACCATAATCATTCCCAAGTCAATATGGATGAGAGGAAGTTTTCACGAATAAGTCTGGTACCAAACTGCCGAGCCGAAAGAATGGACGGCACTTCGTTAATCCGAGGTAGGACCAAACCAGTTAGCACAGTGGGTGTACTGCATGAAATTTCCAGCCATTGCGCTTCTCGAGTTCTTTAACCACTTCTTTAATGTTGCCACTTGCAACAAGGCGGTGAAAAACGAAGTTACCTGAATAAGACAAAGAAGCGTAGAAAATGATAAAAATTCGGACCAAAACCCTGTTTTCACTAGAACACCATTATCTCTTCCCTAAGGACACATGGAACGTAGGTAATGTTCAACGATTTCAACGAAGTAAATTGCAAATAAAGGATGAGTATTCTTCCTCAATAATTCCAAATATGACAGAAACAGTATAAAGATACACACTACAGTTCAGATCATCGAAAAATATCCCGTGTTTCTCACTTAGCAGAATATATACTTAAAGCAAAGCATCGATAAACTGGTCGATGACTGATCGGAAGAGTCGAAGACAGGTAAATGAAAAGGTCGATGTAATGACAGCAAAAATAATGGGACACTAAGAAGATTACCTAAAAGATGGACGTATTTCACGTTAACCAATTATACTCGCGGTTGGACACGAGTTTAACCAAGGAACGAGATTGATGAAGTTGCAATACGTTATCGTGCCATAAACAGTACAAAACCATGGACGGTGGTCAAAGATCAGTATGAAAACAAATAATGTTGAAGCACTGGAAACTGACTATTCAGCCATTCAAATAAGTATTTAAGTATGAGACGAGCGTACCACAAACTCAGCTATTGAAAATATCTTCAGCAGAGTTTTCGAATTTTAAAAACGTATACAAAGAATCTAGTACACTCCAACTTTATCCGACTTTCTACCTTAACTAATGCAGCGGTTCTAATGCTTACAGCCGAAATTCGCGATTTACTGGAAGATAGCAAGTATTCTCCCAATGCTTCCTATTTTCTATATTGTCGCACGTTTCCTATATTAAGCATGTTTGCTTTAAGGCACATTTATCCTTGCCTTTTAAGCTATATCCACACTTCTGTATCTGTTTCACATTAACTTTCTGTATAAGCTATTCAACTGCACCTTATGAACTTCTGTATAAACGAAACTTCCAGTATACGACATATCTGATGTAGGAAGCTTCCGGTATACCGTTCATTTTATGTAGGTTCTCGCGGTTACCGTGACATGATTTGAAACAGCTTTAGCAGATCTCATCAAGAGAGCAACTTTATGCTAACTCTCTTTGGGCATTAACTTGAGGTTCCTCTACCAGCACTCTGCCTATCACAGGACATATATACGCATCACCACCATCAGTGATCCCTCAGTTGGCTCAAACACCCTCTTACGTATTGCCTTACCTTTAATGAGCCTGTAAGCATATTGGCGCTTGCATTGTTCCAGTATTGGTAAATCGTTATTGCTGTATTATTATTGTTATAAACGACTAAGTTACACAAATATGAGATTGTACTCTGTATCAATGTTAAGTCTCGCGTGGCAAATTTGTACCAAGTCGAGCATTTTACTTCGAGTTAGTGATTCTTCGGTGTCGAAAACTGACTCTAAGACCTATTTTCCACAGGCAACTGCTACATTGAGGGCCTATTTATAATTGCATATAGCAATGCTTGCAAGTGACTCCATACAAACTACAAATAAGGGGTAATAAAGGTGAAGCGAGGAACGTTGCTCAATCCCGTTTGAAGACACCATGAATGCGATCCAATCCACTTAAGCATCATACAGGTAATTCGTTTGACCCATAAAATAACTCGCGGGGTTCTACCGATATTTTCGAGTTCACTTTATCCGCATAGACAAGTTCAGTGATAAGTTACACAACCTGAGAGATGGGAGGCATGGTTAGTCCCGTGCGCATTGTAGAAATAACGACCACGTGTGCAATATAGGGCACTTCCAACCATTACGCTACATAAACCCTTCAGTCACAATTAGACTGGACCAAACGGATCATAATGTAAAGGCTCACTTTAAGACCCATTCGATGAACGTAAAACAGTCGACTATAGTCATCCATCCATACATCTGCCAGTCGCTTCGAATTCGTGCCATGTACATCTTCGTTGCCATTTCGACCTGTATGTGTTGGAGCAAAAATCTGATCTGCAAACTCGTATTCTGTTGAAAGTCCAAAATGATTGTGTTATTCAGGAAGCTCATTGGCCTTCACGAATTTCTGTAGTAGAATTACAGGTTCACTTTGGCTCTATTTTGTTACCTGTATTGAAATAGTTAGTGTACTAGCAAAAGCACTAAAATTATCTCTTGAGTTCTGTAATGCTGAGATATTTGCAAAACTCCGAACCGCAGGTGTCTGCAGTGGGGAACGAACGCTCTATTGTCCTTTCCGGTGAGTAACGCGTTCACCACCACACCATACGGGTCTTTCGTTTAGCCTGTCTCTCAGCTAGTTCTATCGATCACTTGCCATCAGCGATTGCGATTGATCACCCGTCAACGGAATTGATCTAGGGAGCCCAAATCGGCATTGAACCCACTTAAGCTGAGGCTATAGTTGTAATCACAATCTTAACCTTTTTATTTACTGCTTATTCTTTTTGACGGCAGGGTATGTTGCGAAATATAACTTCTATAATATTGAGATATTTGCAAAACTCCGGACCGCAGGTCTCTGCGGTGCGGAACGAACGCACTATTGTCCTCTCCGGGGAGTAACGCGTTCACCACCACACCATTCGGGTCCTTCGTTTCGCCTGCCTCTCAGCTAGTTGCCATGGTAAGTGATCGATAGAACTAGCTGAGAGACAGGTGAAACGAATGACCCGCATGGTGTGGTGGTGAATGCGTTCCTACCCATAAAGGACAAGAACGAGTTTGTTCCCCACCGCAGACACCTGCGGTCTGGAGTTTTGCAAATATCTCAGCATTATAGAAGTTATATTTCGCAACATGCCCCGCCGTTTAAAAGAATAGGCAGTGAATAAAAAGGTCAAGATTATGATTATCTCTTGAGTCTTTGAATAGATCTACTTACCTGTCATATTGTAAGGATGTCCTGGACGGTAGATATGTCCAACGTGTGAGCACGGAATCAACTCAATCGATCCTCCACACATCCATACCTTGAGCCAGTATGTAAACGAAGTGTAATTCATTGAAGGGAAAAAAGCAATTGTAAAAGTGGATCGATCTGACAAACCCGGAAAGAGATTTCCAAATTCTCACCACCCCAGATATCCATTTCTTCATCATATCCGCCTACTTCGAAAAAATATTCTCGATTAGCAGCAAATAAACCGCCAGCCATCGTCGGTGATCTACAATGACCGTAATTCCGGAAAAATCCAAAGGTATTGCGCATAGCCAGAAGGTGCCGTAAGATAATCTAGTAATAAAGAAACTTGGCAACGGTTAACCACCTCATTGTGGCCGGCAGGTGTTCCTGGGTGTCGGACTGCGATGTACAGCGGGGGATTCATCCCTTGGCAGGGTCTCCCAAGCTGAGGATTCCGGCGTTTCCATCAGGAAGCCTCGCTAAAAGTAAACCAGTACCAGGATCCACCACCGCCCTGGTATAAAAGTCGCATGGTGGTAAATCTTTCTCTGATCCATAAGGGCCTGTCGTGGTGAGGAACTGGGGCAGACTTTGGCCAGGCTGACCTCGGGACTCCAGGAACCCACCATGGTTAAGTCTGCAAAACTCCGAGAAAATGGAAATTATGTTGGGGCCCGCACAACTTGTGAAGACGGGCCATCCGAGTATCCAAGTATCCAAGTATCTAAGTAATAAAGAAGACTCAAAGGACACACCGAATATAGTCAGTTTCCGGATTTTTTCTCCGTTGAACTTCACTCTTTGGCATGGGCCCTTCGTTGTAATGTAAGGACCACCAGAATATTCCAACTCCTAAATTTAGTTATAAGCTCAAACGAACCAAGACGTTGTAAAGGAAACATGCCTCCGTGTGATCCTCCAAGATAGGCGAGATCGGAGTTGGATATCGAATCGATGATTGGACAAACAACGGCTGTTCGTTTCTCCTTTATACGTGCCAGCAAAGGCTCAACCCTGAAAATGGCATGGAAATTTCGGAGTCCTAAACGATAATTCGATCGAGAAGACAATACGAAGCGCGTAGTACCTTCCGTCAGATAATGAAAAAAGCCGAACTACGCTTTCAGGTATTCATTAGCATGCTCATAACGTCCATGCTTCTGATTCTGCATCCAAGCAAAAATCTGTTTTATTTTAAAGTTATTTAACAATTCTGCTTACTCCATATCATCATGACTAGGTAGTTCCCGTCATTAAATGTTGCATACACAACTCAAAATCTACCTAATATCTGAGAAGCTTCCATTAAAAGGATAGCCGTACGTCGAGCGATAATTTACTTGGCCTTACAAAACACTGAATATTTTGGTAGTTAGTGTCAAAGTACGAGTTCCCAACTTTGAGCATGATTTTCGTGTAATAAAAGTAACTGCAGAAGTTTGAAAAATGAAAACGCCTTGTATGCCAGATTAGTCCAATTCTTAACGTTTACTGAGCTCCCTGTTCTATAGAACGACAAGCTTAGCACTCCCTACTGTAATTCTCCAAACCTGAGTAGTCTATTCGTCACCCACCCATTTCTCTTCACCCTAATCAGTGAAAATATTGCTGTAACGAAGAAGCGTAAATAACCGCGTTAACAAGGATTCCTGATTTCGCTCATTCACTTACAGATGTGTCTTGGTTTTGACTTTGAACACTCTACACTTGAAACCTTTCATTCGTGTATTAAAAGAAGACCATGTGACTGCTAATTTAAAAACCTCACCAGCCGGAATTCGCTTCACAATGTGAGTCAAGGAAAACTAGCACTTCACCGCTCGCCTCCTTAGCTCCTGTTAACTTTGCTCTGATCAGGCCAAGTCTTTCCGTCGAACGAATTAATTTCACCAGTGAACCGAACCTCTTCAGATGTTCAACTAGCGGCTCTCCAAGTTCTTCTGAAATTTATAAAACTAACTAGTATGTTATCCTTATCTAACAGGTCATGCAGTTCGAAAAATAATGCATTTTACAATGCTTGAAAACTGCATGGAACGAATGTATCGGAGGCATTTCCAGCAAGTGAACGTGGCGTTTGCTTTCACGAAATTGTTAAGATTCTCCAACGAAATCCACTAAGCATTCGTTAAAGTGCTTTTCACACACACACACACACTTCTTCATTTGCGTGCAATATGACTTTCACAAATACGATTAGATGTCATATTACGAAAAATATCTTTTGTTGACTAAATAAAGCTAAGCATTGATTAGAGTTTCTCTTAAACGTAAAACAATTCTAGGAGAAACTGCCATGACCGACTTTCTATTAACCTCAGCATTGATCAAGTGATTTTCTTCGCATTTTTGTTGAGCAAACGCGAGGTGTTACTATTCTTTGTTCACGATTAAGCTGACGTCTCGGCGGATTTCGCCTTCTTCAGAGCCTGGAAAGGTCAAGTTGATAGCAACTCACTCGGCCAGACGCCTCTATAACCAAACAAAGAAACTCCAAACCAAGATTTCAATCCCTTTGAACACAGCTTTGCACACTCACCGCTTTCTATGAGGTTTCCACTAAGTATGTCACGTAGAGACCAACCGCACAGAAATCACGTGGAAGTATAATGTGCCCCTCACATCAGAAAAGCAGTTTTATATACTGCCCTATATCACGCGTGATAATGAGGCATTCTTCCCTGCGGTTCATTTTCGGATTTCTGGAATTAATCCAGAGTGCC